TCAGCATCCATGGCATTTTTCCAACAATCCATTTTGATGGCTTGGTTGAATGTTTTTGGTTCAGTATTGGAAGACACAGAATAACAGAAGTGTTTATAAGATGGTGAGCAATTAGCATAAGATAGGACAAAAGATAAGGGATACAAAATTTTCGAATTGCTATCTGACACAGAAGAATAGCAATGATAATCCTTTAGATAGTGAGGAGGGTGGGAAGCTCTAGAGGATTGTCTTAAGGGAAGAAAGTTATGATCTGCAGAGGTATTTTCTGTTGAGTTATGAATGGTGAGAATATGGTCATTGGTTTGTCCTGCAACAGAGAGATGAGGAGAGTTTGGAGAAGTTTGGGACTGATTTATATCAGAAGGAAAAATGGATGTGGACTGATCTGTGGAGTTATTAAGCACATTGTTATTTTGTGCAGGCGGAGAAATGTGAGCTGGATGTGAAGTAGAAGGATTGTCCAGGTCAGGTATAAGGACATCTTGAGAGATAAAAGAGTCATTGTGTATAGGCACATCAGCTGGAATGGGACTGGGAACAGCAGCTGGATTAGGACTGGGACTGGCAGGCTGATGAGATGTACCATCAGGACTGCTATGTGTAGAGGTGGAGTTGTCAAGTGAAAAAGACATGTCAGTGGTACTAGAAGGTTGGCTATTAGGCTGACTAGGAAAAATATTATGAGGTGTATTGGGAGGATCATCAAGATGTGGGACAGATTGTGTAGGTGAAATGAAGAGTGATTTTGATGTTTAAATGGAAATATATGCTCATAGAAAATCACATTCCTTGATATAAAAATGTTGTAAGTTTCAAGATCATACATAATATACCTTTTGGTACCTTCCTTAAACCCAAGAAAAATAGATTTCTTAGCTCTTAGATTGAACTTGGTTCTATGTGCTTGAAGAGAGCTAGCATAGGAAAGGCAACCAAACATTTTTAGGTGAACTAAGGATGGACATTGCTTAAACAACAGTTCATATGGACTTTTAGAGTTAAGGAGGGGTGTAGGTAATCTATTGATAATATGAACAGCATGTGAAATGCAAAAATTCCAAAGATTTAGAGGAAGGTTAGAGCGAAAAAAATGGCTCTAGCTACATTGAGGAAGTGTTGATGTTTCCTTTCAACCACTCCATTTTGTTGGGGAGTCTCAACACAAGTTCTTTGGTGAAGAATACCCTTGGATAATAAGTAGTCAGATAGAGCAAGAAATTATGTACCATTATCTGATCTTAAACATTTAAGGGTAGTTTGGAATTGGTTTTCTATGTAAGCTATGAAATTGATAAGGCTTGGTTTAGTTTGGTCTTTGGTTTTAAGGAAAATAACCCAAGTATGTCTTGAATAATCATCAACAAGGGTTAAAAATTACTTGTGTCCTAAAGTGGAGATTGTGGAGAAAGGATCCCATAGGTCAGCATGCAAAATATTAAAAGGAACATTAGAATGAGATACACTATTTGGAAAAGGAAGTTTTCTTTGTTTAGCAAAGTGACAAGAGTCACATGGTACATTATCTTTATTACAAGAAATGAAATGAAAATACTTTGAGATGGTGTGTAAACCAATATCAGATAGGTGGCCTAGCCTTAAGTGCCACAAATTACAAGATGTATGAGAAACATAATTATGAACAAAGGAATTATTAGCATGAGAAAGTGAAGGTGTGGTGTCAAGAACATAAAGTCTCATGTGTAAGCTAGTTATACCAATCATTGCCTTGGTATGATTCTGCAAAATATGGCATGTGTTAGCACGAAATTGAACAAAACATTGATTACTAGCAACAAGTTTAGCTATAGATATAAGGTTGACATTAAAGCTAGGAACATAAAGCACATTGTGAAGAGTGAGATAGGGTGATATAACTACTGTGCTAGAAATGGAAGTCATGACTTGTGAACTATCAGGTAGGCTAACATGGATGGGGACTATGTTCTTATGTGTAATAAAGGAAGATAAATCAAAAGAGAAATGGTCAGTAGCTCCAGTATCAAGGATCCAAAGATGAGGGTGCTTACCATTCACATTGGTTGAGTGAGAATGCATGACAAAAGGTGATGTTGAGACAGAATTGACAACAGGTTGAGGCTTGAATTGTTGAACCAATGCGAGGATGCTGTCATATTGCTCCTTAGTAAAACCAAATGAAGATGGTGTTGAACCCTGAGAAGAGGATGTGGATGCATTACTAGCATTTGCAGTTGATGAAGATGGTGCAGACCCTTGAGTCTTGGATTTATATCTGTAACCCGATGGGTATCCGTGCTTGCTGAAACAAGTTTCAATGGTATGGTTCGTCCGGCCACAGTGAGTACAAACTCTGTTAGAACCTTTTGCAGAAGCTGAACCCTGAGACTTAACACGATATGTGTTGGAACCTTGTCTACCAGACTGGTTCCCTTCCTGAGCTTGAACATGTAATGCAGAGGTTTCTTCAGTGGAACCTGTAGGGGCCACAACACTTGATGCATAGCTATCCATTTCTCGCTCTTGTTGAATCACAAGCGAGAAGGCCTTGTCAATATCAGGCAACGGATTCATCATCATAATCTGAGATTTTGAGTGAGAAAAATTCTCAAATAATCCTTTGAGAAAATGAATTACGTAATCTTGTTCCATATACCGTTTTACAGACGCTATGGCACCGCAACAACAGGGAATTGCGCAAGAACAAAACGAAATCGGTCGATAGTTCTCCAATTCGTTCCACATAACCTTCAATTGTGTAAAATAGTTAGAGACGTCGAGAGTACCTTGACGGAATTTGTACAAGTCTTCTTGAATGTCAGATATGCGGAATATGTCGCCTTGAGAAAACCTAATTTGCAAATTCTTCCATACGCCAAATGTTGTATCAATCCACAGAACAGACTTTGCTATTGGTTCCGAAATTGATCGTTGAATCCACGCAAGAACCATGGTATTACAACAGATCCATGGTGCATACATCGGATCCGAAACATGTGGCTTGGTTAGAGTTCCATCAATGAACTTCTCCTTGTTCTTGGAGATAAGCGAAATGTGCATCGATCGAGCCCGTGTATGGTAATTTTTATCAGTGAGCAAAGGCGTAACAAGAACAAGAGCTGGATTCTCGTTCGGATGAAGATAGTAGGGATTTGCAGAATTGGTTGCGAAATCGGCGTAGCTCTGGTGCGCCATTGAAAAATAGAAAAAGATGAAAGCGATTAAGAAAAAAAGAACGATGAAAAACAGAAAGAACTCACAAAGGAGATGAACAAAGATCACAGAAGAAAGAACAATGGCTACCAGAGCTTTTGAAGCTCTGATACCATGTCGATAATGTACGATGATGCCATAGCAGAAAGAAGAAGAAGCAGTAACAGAATAGCAGAAAGAAGAAGAAGCAGTAACAGAAAGAAGAAGAAGTAATGGAAAGACAAAGTTTGTTATTATTCATCTAACTAACTCAATACAATTATGATATCCGTATATATATACAAGTGTGAACCAATAATAATATGCTAGTTGTACACTAAACTTATCTAGTTACATTAAGATAAAAATATAAAAGTATAATACTGATAAATAACCATATTATTACCAACAAAATTTATTTTAGTAAAAGATGTTAAACAAGACAAACTATGCATTGATTTCTGTTTAATTATATATCCACATTCAATGTTTAATAGTCCTTGAACATGTCTTTTATATTTGGTTCCACCTCCGAAGCATTTAAAAAACATTTTTACATCAGTAGCACTGTTCCTTAATGTTTGGTTCAAATGAGGGGGAGGGGAGGGGAGGGATTTTAATGAAGGGGAGGGGAGGGGAGGGGAGGTGAAGGAATTTTTTAATTAAATAAGTGTTTGGTTCAAAAGAGAGGAGGGGAGGGGAGGGGAGGGATTTTAATTAAAAATGTGTTTGGTTCAGAAGGGGAGGGGAGGGGTTTTATTAATAATTTACATTTTTATCCTTATGATCTTATATAAGTCATATGATATTAAAATGTGAAAAATTCGTGCGTATTTTTGTTGGTAATAAAATTTCGAATATTGAGTGATTAAAAAAAATATTTATTTGTCACTAAAGTTAAAAAATTGAGTAGAATCGATTCGACTTATAACTTTCCAACATAAATTAAACTATATGCCAATAACATCGTTTAAATTGTGATGAATCATATAACAAAACAAATATATAAAATCACTTATTACTAAATATTAATGGTTCAAAATATTTAATAAAATGAATAAACAAAAATAAATAAAATGATATGATTTACAATTTGATATAAAAGAAAATATGATAGAGTACATAACAAAATTAAAAGAAAAAAATGAATATGACGAAACATAATTTTTTTATAAAAAAAAAGACAATGATTATGATTTATATTAATTATAAAAATTATAAAATAATTTGAAGGTGAAGAACAATTATAATAAATTGATGAAAACAATCGAGAAAAAACAGTAACATAAAAGATAACAAATAGTTTTGAAATAATAAAATTAAACTGAGGATATTTTAGTAAATATAATAATTTTTAAATATCAAAATTAATATTCCCTCCCCTCCCCTCCAAATCCCCCCAATTCGGAGGGAACCAAAAAGTGTGTTTTGGAGGGATTTTGCTCCCCTCCCCTCCCCTCCCCTCCCCTCCTAAAATTTGAACCAAACATATTTAATTAAAAATTTCCCCTCCCCTCCCCTCCCCTCCCCTCCATCTACCCCGAACCAAACACACCCTAAATGCATAACCATTTTTGAGGTCAGAAATGACTCCACCACAGCATTAACGTTTTTGGTCCATTCCTATAATCTAACATCATTGGTCCATTACTTTACAAGTTCTCTAGCCATGTACGTAACCTAGCTCTTCTATTCAATTCTCTGAATTGACTTTTCTTAACAAATACTCCTTTCAAAATTGACTTACAAAGTCCTAGTTCCGTTTCTAATCAAACTTTTCTTCTATGCTGTTCATTCATATATTCTTATTCTCTCAAATTCTTATACTAATGGCTACCTCAACTCTAACCTCTCTTGTATTTTCTATCTTCATTATTTTCCATCTTCAAACCTCTAAAGCCAAACAAACAATCTGCCAAACCCTATCATGCGGCGATATCGATATAACTTTTCCTTTCGGTTTAAAACAAAGTAGTAACCAAATTCAAGATCCTCGTTGTAGCTATTATCCAAATTCCACTTTCCAACTTTCATGCAACAACAACCAAACACAAACAATCCTCAACCTCCCTAATACAGACAACTTAATCATCAACAACATCGATTACAAATCCCAAACAATCCAAGTCAACGACCCCAAAGGCTGTCTCCCAAAACGTTACTTACAAAACAACTTCAACCTTTCTGGTTCACCGTTTAAACTAAACCCAGAAATATACACCATCTATAATCTCACTTTTCTTCGTTGTCCTTCCAACGTATCATCTGAATTGCCTTTAACACCGATTTCTTGTTTAACCGAAGATGAAGAACATGATTCGGACATGTCGGTTGTTGTTTTATGGGGAGAGGCTATTGAGGATACAACGATGGCTGAAACATGTGAGGTGGTTTCAAAGGCTTTTGTTCCGTTGCCGTGGATGGATTTGACTGTGTGGCCGTTTTGGCCTGATATTAACAGTGATGTTGAGTTGGTGTGGAATAAACCTAGATGTGAGAAATGTGCAGTTAGTGGTCAAGTTTGTGGATTCTCTGATGATGAGAAAAATGGTCTGCAAGTTGAATGCTTCCCTGGTCCTTCCAATGGAGGTATGTGTTCTTCTTAGCTTCGGTTTTTCATTCCATGGCTGTGATTGACTCATTGGTTTTGGTAGTTGATGTTTTCTTAGAAATTAATCATGGCCACAAAATAGGTCGGAGGTGTGAAACAAGAAAGGAAGAAAGAAAATAAAACACATCATTTTCAATTAAATTTCAGGTCACGTTATAATAATGTGATTGAATAATAGAAGCATGATTTATGACATGTTGAAAGCAAATGACAAACAACTAGTTTCTTTCAAGGCACTCAACCCTCATCTATTATATAAACCAATTTTTGTGTGGAAAGAAACATTTGAACTTTTAATATAAAAAATTGATTTATAAATATCAAAATTTTATTTACATTAGAATATAATTAAAATTAAAAATACAAAGAAATATTGTTGTAAGTGATTAAATTTTAGACTAATAAATTAAACTCAAGAGAGCTATATATATATATATATATATATATATATATATATATATATATATATATATATATATATATATATATATATATATATATATATATATATATATATATATATATATATATATATATATATATATATATATATATATATATATATATATATATATATATGATAAGAATTATTATAAATATTATTTGAAATTTTTTAGATGCATTTTTTATTTAATTATTTTTTTTGGCATAAATTTTTCTTACTAAAATTGAAGTGAATTAAAACAAATCTTTCACTACAAGAAATCCTGCAGTTTCCCAAGTGATATTCACGTCACTAACATAAAAACCACTTCACTAAAAAAATTTGCGACGTGGGTAAAACACGTCAGAAATGCAAAGGTGGGAACTTTTTCCCACGTGGTAAACACGTCACAAAGTTGTCACATGGTTACCACGTCGCAAACCACAAAAGAAAGAGGAAATGTTCCCACGTGAAAACCAAGTCACTAATTAGTGACGTGAAAACCATGTGGGAACATTACTTTACCAATTTTCTCTGCACGCTGGCTGACACAATTATATTTTATTACCCACGTGATATCCACTTCACAAAGTTGTGACCTAGTTTTCACGTGGGAAACCATATTGAATTAATATTCTTCCCATGTGATTCCCACGTCACTAATTAGTGACATGGGATCCACTTCACTATTTAAATTAATTATAAAAAAAAAAATTAATATTAACTGAAAGCTTCTATAAAATTAAAATAAATTTTAAATTTTAAATATAAATTTTAAATTAAAATAATTTTTAATTAAAATAATATACATTTAAAATATATAAATATTTAGTTACATGAAATTCACGTCACAAATACAAATAATAATAATAAAAGTTGTGACATAGTATTCACGTCACAAATAAAAATAATAATAAAAAAAATTATTCTTCGTCACTAAATGATTCATCTTCGTTTTGGTCATCATCTCTGGGAGAATAATTCGATCTCGAGGCAAAATATTTTCGCATTTGTGCCTCCATGTCTGATTGTCGCTTCCTCATTTCCTCTATTTCAGCATTTTGTCTGTTTCTCATATCATCCATTTCGGCCTTTAGGGCCGCCTCACGTGTCTCTGCCTCTCGTCTCGCCTCAGCTAGAGCTAACTGTCTCACTGTTGCCAACATTTCTGGTGTTAATTCTGCCGGACGCGATCCTCCTTCCCCGTCATCGAGTCTCTGAAATAAAGTTCGGTCCCCTTTTCTATAATCACCAGCCAAAGACCCCAGACCAAAAAAACATCCATTAACTCTCTTCCCGCCTACTGTTAAATTCCAAATATAAAGATCAACACGTGGATCAAGCGGTGCATCCCCAATCGGCGTATATTGAGGATTTTCAGTTAGAAATTGGGCAAGCAATGTCTGGTACAACTCCTACACACACATTAAAAAAAATTAAATTAAATATAATTTAAACAATTTAATTATATAGTAATTATGAAATTAAAAGAATTCAACTAAAATAAACAAGTTACCAAGGTTGATTTGGAACGACCGTCAACAAAGTCGCCCGATTTTTTGGTTCGAGTCTTCACAAATAGCTCATTAATTCGTGGCTCCCTCCCCAAGTCCTTTTTCTAATTAAAATGATGAAGCTTAATTAAATATATAATAATACAAAAAAAAACTTTAAAAAATAGTTATAATTACCATTCGTCGACGATGTTCGCCGATACTGATACTTCCAACTGTATTAAGACAACCACCTGCTTCAGATGCCCTCATCTTTTTAGCATGTTCAGATCTTCTCTGAAAATCTTCTGTCTTCCACCACTCAACAAGTTCACCAAATATTTCCTCGCCTATCCAGTTAGGACGAGTGTGATCTCTTTCCCAACGTTGTCTAGCATTCCTAAGCATGTCAGATAATCTGCTAGATACCTTACTTTTGAAATTTTTTTTAATTTTGAACTCGTCAAATTTCTGCCAAGTACACCTTTCCTGCAAGTTATATGACCGTCAACAAAAATGTTAGATATATATAACAAAAAATCGTTATAAAATAACATAACTATAATAAAAATTCAATTTACCTTGAATTTATCAAACCATATATCTTTCTCATCATCTGGGAGCTCTCCGAAAGACTTAATGAGTTTTGTATACATCAATTGAATGACCCAGTTTACAGCTTTAGCAGCAGGACGACACGGATCAAAACTAAACAACAATAATTTGAACGAGTATTAAACATAAAATGACAATAATTTGAACGAGTTTAAAAAATAAAATGACAATATATAGCTAAATAAATATTATAAATTAAAAACATACCCAGATCCCTCAGGCCTAATCAGATGTCGTCCTTTAACCACCAAATGTTCCTCTGCAACAGGATTTGTCTGCTCCTCATGAACATCGTCATCCCCCTGAACAGTGTGGTCATCCTGCTGCTGACGCGTAGGTATATGTGTGGGGTGTGGAATGCGGGAGCTAGATCCCTCTGGCTGGTGCGTGGAGGGTGTCGGCTGAGGAAAACTAGATCCTGAAGGCTGCGGCGTGAAGGAATACTGCTGAGGAAAATCAGATGCCACAGGCTGTGCGAAGTGAGTCTGCTGAGGAAAACTAAATCCCCCAGGCTGCGGCGTGAAGGAATACTGCTGAGGAAGAAAACTAGCTCCCCCAGGAAAACTAGATCCCCCAGACTGCTGCGTAAACGTAGATGGTACCCCAAGCGGATGCATGAAGGATCCCCCAAACGGACTAATAAACGATGGATTCCCAGATGGAACCGTTTGGGAGGAGGAGAGTAATGTCGTAAATGGCTGTGAAGTGTCTACGGACATTAGATCTGCCTGAGACTGTGGGCGAGAAGCATACATGGGCGAGGGCGGTACCTCACGTACTCTGGCTCTCGAACGAGGCTGGGTCTCCTTTGCCTTACCCTTGTCAGTTCGGGGTGGCATTGTATCTATTTTGAAATAGTTATCAATAAATAAATAATACGTAAATAAATCAAGAAGACTCTTCATGCTCTTCGTAAATAAATATTACTCAAGATATGGCCTAACTTCAATACAGTTAATAAGAACATGAACGTGTGCAGATTGTAATTCTTTTTGGGTCAGCCAATGCACATTCTCCTTTCCAGAGGGGCGACCGGGAAGACCGAAGATTGACAAGGTAAACTGACTTCTTTTGTTAACATCACATTCATTCCTTATGATTCTTGGAGTTAACATCAAATGATTGAAATAATGACTGCAAAAATGTGATGTTTCCCGATGCAAATAATGTGCACATATTGATCCTTCAACTTTAGCTTTGTTTTTCACTGATCGCTTTGAATCACCCATGAATCTTTCAAAGGGATACATCCACCTGTATTGAACGGGGCCACCAAGATAGGCTTCATATGCAAGATGCACAGGTAGATGCTCCATAGAATCAAAAAAACCAGGTGGAAAAACGCGTTCCAACTTGCATAGAATAACTGGAATATTTTGGTCCAACTTAATGATGCTATCGACTCTTAAAGTTGACGCACAAATATCTCTGAAAAATTGACTTATTTCAGTTAGCGGATATAGCACATGGTTGGGTAGTGAACTGAACGCAATTGGAAGCAATCGTTCCATGAAAACATGACAATCATGACTTTTCATTCCATGCAACTTCCCAGTTTTTGTGTCAGCACACCTTGCTAAATTTGAAGCATAACCATCCGGCATTCTCAATTCATTTAACCATCGACAAACCGCTTTAGCATCTTGGGAAGTTAAACTGTAACATGCCTTAGGTTTTAATAATTTTCCATTAGGCCGAGGCTTCAACTCCAACTCTTTTCTATCACACAAAATTTCCATGTCCCTTCTAGCCTTCTCATTATCCTTTGTTTTTCCTTGAACATCCATCACTGTGTTAAATATATTATCGAAGAAATTCTTTTCAATATGCATAACATCAAGATTATGTCGCAATAAATTATCTTTCCAATATGGGAGGTCCCAAAATATACTCCTTTTTGTCCAATTGTGTTTGACCCCATATCCTTCAATTCTGTATGCTTCACCGTAATCTGTAAATTTGGGCAGTTTAGAAACTCGATTCCATATTTCCTCTGGTGACAATCGCGGAGGAGGCAAATCTTTTACTCGTACATCTTTTGTGAAATCAGTCTTGTTTCTTCTAAATACATGGTCTCGTGGTAGGAATCTGCGGTGACAGTCAAACCACGAACTTTTCCCTCCAAATTCCAAAGTAAAAGCCTTTGTAAATTCCATGCAATGTGGACATCCCATTTTGCCATGCGTACCCCAACCAGATAACATTCCATAAGCGGGAAAGTCATTAATAGTCCACATCAAGGCAGCTCGCAAAGTAAAGTTTTGTTTGCGAGATATATCATAGGTCCATTCTCCAATCCACAATCTCTTCAAATCATCTATTAAAGGTTGCAAATAAACATCGATTCCGGATTTAGGACTTGACGGTCCTGGAATGAGGCAAGTCAAAAACATGTACGGTTTTGTCATGCACATCTCTGGAGGAAGGTTGTAAGGGGTTACAATAA